TTGTTTGTTTGTTGTGTGTGTGTGTGTGTGTGTGTGTGTGTGTGTGTGTGTGTGTATGTGTGTGTATCTGTGTATGTGTATCTGTATATATATATATATATATGTGTGTCTGTGCGGTTCTCTTCAGTACAATAAATTGGCAAGATGGTGTACGTGCAGCAATAATGTAGTAGGTCTGCAGTGTAGTCAGCAATAATTCGGCTAGGCTAGAGTGAGTCGGTGAATTGTGTTTTAAAATGAAGGAATGCGAAGTATCGGAGAGGAGTTGAGGAGAGGGCACGACGTCCCCACTGCCAACTGATGTTATTAGAATTAGTGGAAAAAATTAGCGGTGCGAAAAGCATATGATTCCGTTAATCATTTAAGAAATTTTTAAGCAAACTGAAAAAATTTTTACGAATCGAAGATGTCCAGAAATACTAAAAATCTTAGAGTCACTGATTTCGTTATGATAGCATTCTTGTATTGAAACTGTCAGTTCAATCTATGCTTTTTTATGAACTTATGGGATAGGTTTTTTTTGACTTTGATGAGCATCTCTAAGAGTAAGGCATTTGATCAGTCAAACAGTTTTGAAGCTTGCAGATGCGTCAAGATTTCATCTAATAATATGCTTATCCCAGTGATTGTATGATTACATCATACTATCACTAATGTGGATGGTTCTACCTCACTTGAAGAAAAAACAAAAAACCCTGCTTCTTATTTATATAGCGAATATACCCTTCTGTTCTCTCCAAAAACCGACTCAAAAAACTTGTAGATGAAACAAACGAAAGTCGAGGTGGCTTTGTGCTGAAAGCGTGTAGTAAAGCGCCTACCAGGCGTCGGTCTCTTTCGGAGCGTTCATTGGCCGTCAAGCGAACGATCCTAAGTGGTTTGCGAATCAAAAAACAACATTCAACCGGTGATATACACCAACATGTCACTACCGGTGAGTTCTTATCTTTATTTGTAATTAGTCCTTAGAATAACGAGAAGATAATTATTGAAGCTATTATTTTCAGGAAATTTATTTCTTGATGTAGAACTGCTCTAGACTCAAGTATAAACCTGTTTTGGTTGAGGTTCCATGTAGCAATCGCATAATTTGTAGCTCAAATATTAAATAGAATTGGACTATTGAGAATTGAGATGACGGTGTCACGTTTCATTATCTTATTATTAATCGTCTCTGTTCAATCCGACTGTGGCCGTAGCTTTTCCTTTTTAGTCCGGAAAGATTAAAATGATTTGTTGTAGGAAGTTTAAGGTCAAGCGGTAGCACAGTCAGCTGCACATCGGACGAATCGGAACACCGGCAAGGACGAGAGAATTTGATCGTGTCTCAAGTAATTCTCACCTAATTCATAATCCTTAAAATTTGCTGACATCAGACGAAAATTAAATGATGGGTTTTTAAAAAGTCGAATATGGACATAATTTTTATACGGCTCATATTTGCAACGGGATGCAAACGAAGTAGAACGCCACTTCGTTTATTTACTGAAATATCGTATTGTATTTTTGTATTATCTGGCACTAAGTTTGTTTCTAGTATATTCATTTTCTCTCTTTGTTCCTTCCATTGTAACATATCAATTCCCATGTACGCTATCCTCGCACAACTAAACTAGAATTTTATTAACTGCTATGTTTCAAAACTCTCCCGAAGAAATCTGTATTAATTAGACATTTATTATACCCACTGATCTAATGGTCGTTTCATTAAACAAAACAATCTTAGGAGGATCAAATTGAGCCGAATACGACTGAAGTTTACAAGGGTGAATGGAAAAATGATAAACGGTGTGGATTCGGAATTGGTGAACGAAGTGATGGCCTGAAATATGAAGGGGAATGGTTTAACAATCGAAAATGTGGCTATGGGATTACAACTTTTAAAGATGGCCGGTAAGTCACCATTTCAGTGGGATGAAAGAGATGTTTGCAATTTAGATGAAGTACATGGATTAGGCCAGGTGTGCAAACAATTACCGCCTTGGTCAAAAATCCTTACTTATACGGTAATCGACTGCAGATCCCTAAATGTCGTTGCTTATAAAACAGTGTTGATTCTTAATTTACTTTAGCTTATTAGCAGCTCCGCTGAAAATGAATGAAAGGACAACAAAAATAGGTTAATGCCAAATGCTCAGGAGTTGCATCTCATATCTCTTTTTGGTAATGGTATTGATGGGTGCACAGAATAATGGAATTTTATTGAATTCACGTTTAACTGGAGTTTTGAGCAATCCTATTTATTAACAGCATGTTGTGCCAGTGTGTTATTGTGGTTCAACTAATGCTAATGTGCTTTGACCAGATACATGGGGAGCTTAATTAAGTCTTAATTGCTTTTACAGCCTCAAAAAGAAATCTAGAGCTTTATTTAGATTTTAGATTTTTTAGGATCTAGAGCTTTATTTAGATTTTGTTACATGTTCAAAATTTGTAATATATTTCTTCTTTTTTTTTGTAAGTTTGTTAGGTATAATTTGTAACGTGTGTCAATGCTATACCTTTTCAACGTAGTTGTTTTACCACTGATATGTTATTTTCGCTAGGTTAGATGCCGCTTGGTAAGCCTCTCGTCTAATGTTAAAACTGTGTTCTGAAACGTTGCACCAGTTAATTTGTTTTGCCATTTTGCTTTCTGTACTATTCGTATCGTGTGGGATCACGACTACTGTCACTAATCAGAAAATCCGACTTGATAATTGTCAGACAATCGGGCAAGAGTGGATGCATACGCATGCTTGAAATTTAACATTAACAACGTGAAAGGGCCAAAAAATCCGACGTTAGGAAAAAGTGCATATTTTTCCTAGAAAATCTAAAACTTTGTAAAGAAAGGTGCCAGTCCTTGTTAGTTAGTAAATGAATTATTGTATATGCTGAAATGAAGTTTCGCTCTAATAGAATCAGTAGAAAAGTGAAATGATATTAACTGATCAAATGCGAGCGCATTGCTGGAGAACTATTCATTGTCCATTACTTGTCGTTTAGGTGCTTTGACTTTGCCCTTTGTATATTGTTTCAAGTCATTCTGGCTCGGCCTTAAGTGACTGAAGTACTTCAATCAGTATAGAAAAGTGAATTATCATTTAAACATCCTTAGCTGAGTAAACAAACACTTTATTATTGGCGTAGTTAATAAACAAGAAGGAAAATATGTATTACATTGCAGGAAGGAAGAAGGGAAGTACAAAAATAATGTATTAGTATGCTCAAATCGTAAGAAGGGATTGCTGTTTGTGCGTTCATCAAGACTGAAAGAACGTGTTGGAAATGCTGTTGAAGCTGCCAATCGTGCTGCCACTATTGCTCAACAGAAGGTTTGTTTTCCATTATTTTGCAAAGAGGAATACGAAAAGAAAATAATTCTTTGCATGACTGTTTTTCTGCTCTCTGTGGCACAGTGTGGTTGGATACGGATGTTTTCTTAGTGTAATTCTTATTGGATTTCCATATAGAAAGTTTTATCATCGTCAAGTTTCTTGTCAAATCTCCTGAAGCGTCCAAACCCTTTTTCTTTTTTTTTTTTTTTTGATAGAATAATAGGTCAAATCCTTGTCGTAGTACTTTTTACACTACGAAAGCTAAGCAAATAAAGAGACTTGGACGAGGGATATGAATGACGAAGATTTAAATTTCAATTTTGCTATGAAATTACCCTTCATTATAATGCTGTTTCTCTTATTGTTTTTATTAGTCTTTTTATCCGTTATCATGGTAAATCAATGAATGAAGTTCTGGCAGGTAGTGATAAATTTTGTGAAGAATTCTAGGCAGACATAGCTGTATCGCGAACAGCAACAGCTAAAGAACGCTCCGAGCAAGCCGATTACATAGCATTGCAAGCTCGTGAAGATGCCGATACAGCTAGGATGTGTGCGAAACAGTTTGCTCCAGAGTTTAGACAACCAGGTACAGAGGCGATTCGAGTGCAGATGAATTGCTTGCAACAGCAACATAGTGCTGGTACTACTACTAGCGCAAACCATGTCTCTTTCGATTCACCGCCCACTTCGAAAAGTTCCCATGAATCTCGTGACCTCTCCGATGAACTTATCATTTTGAATCCTCCTTCTTTACCGCTTGCCACACCCGAGATCACTTACACACCGTCGCAACAATCACAAACTCCAGGTGGTACAATATACCAACCTCAGCAGGTAATGGTCAATCTGGGTTCCTATCAACAAGGAATTATGACTAACTCAGATGCCGATTACATACCGTCATCATTGCAGCAACATCATCAGTCGTCCAATCCCGGTGGTTATCAAAGTAGTTCTGGATTTCAGACTAACAGTGTAGCATCAATCTACCAGCAGCAGCAACAACAACACAGCGTTAATTCAGTTGGTTATGCGGGTTCACAGCAAACTTCCATATTTGGTCCAACTTCTTACCAAGTGTTGCCAAGCGTTTCTTCATCACATAAGGTTGCTGGCGGTTATCAGCCCTCCACTCAACTCCCTGTTATTTCGAGTACTGCTCTACCGGGTGTTCAGTTGCCCTACATTTCTTCCTCGTCATCGTATCGTCCAAATGCGGTGCCTCATCATAATTTCAGTGTAACACATCAGTATCAGCAGAAACAGCAACAACATCAGAATATTCTTGCATCATATCCAGGTACAGGATTTGCTATACCAGAACAGCGGTCGTTCATCTTCCATTCCGATATTACATCTTTAGAGCAATCCAATAACACGACTTCTAATATTACTGGTGAATTACAACAGCGTCAGTTCACTAATGGCACTACGGATCCATGTTCCATTGAAAATATCAGTCCAGCTTCTTCTAGAAGTTTATTACAGGTATTCTACAGTCTCAGATCATTCTTCAACTTTTTTTTTCGTTGTCAAGACTGAGTCAATCAAAAATTAAATGAGAATCCCTTTATGCTTCCCAGAATGCTACGAAATAGTTGCATCCATGACCCAAATTGCCATGGTTCTTGCTTTTTAGAAGTATATAAGTACAAATACTTCCTTATGGGACAAGTGATTTCAGAATTAACTGATTATTCGTTGTGATCGAGTAAGTTCTCATACTGGAAACTTTGAATAAGCAAGGAAAATTAAACGATTTAGTGATCGTAATAAGATGTTTTCTTGAAAATATCATCTTAATTATTTTTTAGAATACAAATGCCGCTCAAAGCAGCTCACGAATGTCTCTTAGTGATGATCACTACGATCAGTACATGATGTTTGCAAATACTAGCAGAAGTGGATTAATACATAGGAATAGGCCTTCACTCACGAGACAACCTTTTGCTGTGCATGATATTTCGCAGGCAAGAAATTTGCGAGAAATCCTTATTTTGGTTAAAAGACATCAAACGTTGATTATCTCTAAAATTTATTTTGATGACAGAAAAAATATCAGTAATTTTCTGCCGGTTATTAAACACACTTGTTCCTGATTTTCGAAACTTTCAGTAAAGACTTCACCAAGATAGACAAGAACTCTTCCAATAAATGTTGTAAGAGTAGTATCTGGACTTTATCTGTAACACATTAATGACTAGGAATATTGATTCTTCGGATAAATTTGAATTGCTGGGAATAGTTTGGCGACATTTTATGTCATGGCTAAACCCAAATATGGGGACGTGGAAAATGAAACACAAGGAGTATAGGATTTTTCTAGAGATAACTCTGGTTAGTCAATATGTTTCACAAATAATCCTTATTTCTTTTTCTTGATGATTTGATGCAAACGAAGTTTGCAAATGAAATGTTGCAGAATTTATATAGGCGGTCGACGTTGGCGACAGCTAGTGATAAACGGTTAGAAGATGTAGTGCGGCGAAGACGAGGTGGTGACGATGATGATGAATTCGAGGAGGTTGAAGGACGTGGTTCATTACCAAATCTCGTTGAACTTGAAGTATCTGGGGTGCATCTGAGGAGAGAGGAAGCGGCACGACTTGCTTCGCAACAGCGCCAAGAGTTGCAGCGCCTTCTTGAAGAAGAACAGTTATTGCGCAGTAATCCTCTCCGATATTTATTTCACCCCACTTTTAGAGTTAGTTTCTTCTTTTTTTGCTATGATAACTTTATATATATGGAGAGGCTGCTGTCTTTCCACAGATTTAAAAATTGCAAATTTAGGCTAGCCTAAATTCTCATTGGAAACATATTCGATGAAATGTGGTGAAACATAATTTCTCTATCGACAAAACTTTAGGACTTCTTCAAAATTCCATGCTTTGCATTGCTGCTGCTGATTACCTACCCTTCGCTTAGCAAATAAAGCGGAAATGTGGGACAATGAAGGATTACATTATTTTAACCCACTGTTTCTAAATCATAAATATTCATTACGCTAAAGCTACCGTTTATAAAATATCAGCATAATATACATCTGCAATTATGCCATTATTATTCATTTATTCACTGCCATTAGTTAACTTCAGATTCTTGACAAAATTATCACTAGTGAATATTTCCAAATTATCTCAATTATACAGTAATGAACAGTCGTGATGATTTGGAATTATTTATTCATTTGGTCATTGGTGCTGAACAAGAAACCTCATTTCTCGGGAGTACATATATCCATCATTGCAGGCGTGGATAATACGATGGAAAATGCCCCTCGTACTTTCAATGGCGAATATTTTCCTGCTGATGGTCTTCTATAATCTTCTCACTTACGAAAAACGAACGCGTGAACGTCGATGACACATACTGTGCTTGCGTGTCTTCTCGGATTGGTGATACAATAAAATGTTTTGAATATCGGTGATATACGGTGCTAACAGACCAATGATATATGATTATTGAAGTGATTTTACTGACAGTGTAATCGTTCCAGTGTACATGCATTCACGATTTGGAAGAATATACGCTCGTTCAAATGCTTCATTTCAGGAGGTGATATCAGGTACACCTGGCACTTTTCTTTGTAAAATAATACAACTTTGTGAACAAACTTGGGAAAAGAAAGCGAAAATCACCGCTATATGGTTATTGCTTTCTAATGATAAACATAATATGCCTTAAAAGTGGGACCAAAAATAAGGAGAAAACTGAAGGAACCAAGTAAAAAAGAAAAAAATAGAGAATAGTTACTTTCAGTACATTATGGAATCAAGTGTAATGCTCTAGCGCAGCTGCGCAATTTGTCGTAGCTAACCGCTGGTAGACCGTCGATGAAAAACATTTGCAAATATAAAGTGTAAGTGAGACTGGCTTTTTAAAAGAAAACTTAGAGAAGCGAAATATCAACTTTTATTGCAAATCGAATGTGAAAGTAGTACCTGATCAACAGATACAGTAGTATAATTTGATTCAGTCTGCAGAATGTCATCTGATTTAACCATAGTTTGCTGAAATGCATAAGCGTGAGTAGTGGTAGCAAAATTAACGGGAGCAATGAAATAAACACAAAAGGGAGTAGGAACTGGAAGACTCGGACGATAGGTAAACAAGAATAAAAAATGAAACCGAAGATGTGGAAAAAACTGAAGATACATTTCGATTTGGCACTAGCAGCAATGCTAGCTAGAATCCACTAACTGTGATACTAGGCCAGTATATACCAGATTCTACTTGCTGCTTTTATGAATGTTATTTGCTCAAATGTACATTTTAAATGTATCTTCGTAAGCTTGCTGTTTAAAAGATGCCAATCGATTTTAGAGTTTCATTCGATGAAAAGATGCAACATGAGAAATGCTTTCTTTTTTTGTCTTATTCAATGGTTTTGTTTTTCGCAAAGCTTCTTTTCCCAAGTTCATCCTTCAGTTACTATTGTTTTGTTGCAACATGCGCATAATACTACCAGGTCTTTCTTGCTTGTAAAAGAAAACAAAACCTCTCGACCATTCATACCAAAATCCCGAATGTTTGGTATACTATTCGATTAATTTATACGTATCCAACATTGAGGCTATCGTATTGTCATCTTCATTCTTTTGTGGTCATATGTGAGAATTTAATGCCTTATCTTCATTAATTCTGGAAATCTTACGGTTTTTCAAAATATATTTCCGCATAATTTCCTTTTTTCTTTCATCAGCAATTTTCAGTTTCATTGCATGTTAATTATATCGAGGCCTTATTGACTGTTATTTTTCAGTGAACCAAAAAAGGTATAAAAGGATTTTGGGATGTTCCTACATTTTTTATTTTAAAAATAAAAATGTGTTGGTACCTTTAAAAGATGCAACTAATATCTCAGACAGACCTTTCAGCATTCTTTAAACCGGATCTAAAATTTCGTCAACAAGGACGTAATGTTGATGCTGGAATGGGAAAGGCACCTAAGGCATTCTCGGGAAGAACTGATAAGGGCTTCCCCGTTGCAGTCATCTGTGGTGTATGTATTTTTTACTTATGCCATGTACAGTTTTAGAAAAGCTCATGGAAGGCAGTAGGGGAAGAAGCTAAAGTGAAATTAAGAATGTGTATGGAGATCTTCAGAAGTCTTTCAGGGATCGTTATGACATATAGATGGGAAGGGGCGCTTCATATTTGCTACGTCTAGGAGATCGTAAAAGAGGTCTTTATAGGTGCGTACTACTATATGTGTGTATGCCTAAGTGTTTCATGCCTTAACCAAAGGGCGACACTTGACATTAAGCGGTCACAGGATATCTGCATAGCTCTCGACTCACCGAATAATTCTCCGTATATCACTCTTAAGGGACGATCACCAGAATTATTCACATGTCGTAGGGGTCGGCTCAATCGATGTCAAGAATACAGAAGAGGAGTGCTATATCTTGACAATATCCAACTTCAGGTTCCTCGGCACAGATCTTTATCCTCGTTGTCTACTTCGCAAAAATGACACCATATTATAACGAAACAGGAGGGGACGGTGGTTTTCATGCCAAGCTATCGATATGGCCGCGTAAGGTTTGGTTGAGAGAAGTAAGATGTAGTGTGACTTGTTGGTATGATCATCGTACGTGTAACTGTGTAACAACATATACGGGATGGGTGAATAACATTGCAACAATTTGCAATTACTGAGTAGGGGAATGGGTAACGTCTGATGTTGGTTTCCTCCAATAAGTTCGTTGTATCGCGGTAATTCATATCATTGCTGCCATGCAATCCTCTCGTGATCGAGCAAAATTTTCTCAGAAAGCCAACAACTCTCGTTGTTACTTTGTGTTACGTTCTCCCGGAATACATTATTTTTTGTCTCAGTTTGCTTATTGATATGGCAAAATTTATGGCTTCAGGGTTTTTTTTTTAATATCAAAATCTTTTATTTCCAGCTGGCCACTGAACACTATTATAAAATGTGATCAGTGTTGTAAAATACAGAATTTTGATCTCAAAATAAGATCAAAATGGTTCAATGCACATCTGCTCAGAAGTCGTAAGATGAGAAACATTCTATGAATAAGGGACTTTTTATTCACTCGTTACTCACTGTTTCGGTTGTGGATTTGATCTGTCCCTCAATAATTTAACTCTGAACAATTGACATAGAACGATTATAAATTTCTACAATGCCCTCTTTTAATCACGGTCTCCAATTGTTAATTTAATCTTTCATGTTGAACCACAATCGTTCTTAAGTTCTTTCTGAGAAAAGGTCTTTATAGTTTTTTGGACTTCGTTTCACTCTACTGAGTCCTGAACTTTTCAACTTATTTAGACGACTGATTCATCCCATGTTAAATTTGCGCAACTGTGGAAACATGCTTTCAACTATTTCACATTTCAGGCTTGGAGTCATCTAATTCTTTTTATCCCTTTACCTGCCATTATCCTTCCATTTCTTGCTTACAGAAACTATCTTCACCTATTTTACTTATACTTGAACAACTCTCTTTTTGTTCAAATAAGAAACTCAGAACATCCTTTCTAGCGAAATTAGTCTAAAATGATTTTGAGGAAAACGAAGAAGTAGATGTTTTATTTTGCCCCGACAAACAAGAGGATTGTCCTGAGAAGTGTGCGTTCTTTTAGAAGAATACATGGCTATCCTTTAAAGTTAATTTACGTGTTGCAAACTGGAAATTTATATTTGTGATTGTTATGAGTGACAAGCTTCTAGTTTTCAGAATCTGTCCCAGCGAATACTTTTGTTTAATTTCTATAATACACAAAAGATTGCACTGCTAGAGCAAGGTGGTCCAACTGTGTTATACTTATAATATGTCTTGCAGGATAGTAGCAAAAAATACGATAAAGCGTTAATTGTTATTGGTATAAATATATATATCATAGGAGGATGAGCGGTAGTCCTATTCGATGCAATGCTACTGCACTAGCTGACTTGATTCACCGCGACAATCTTTCCACTTCAGACATCGATGAAGAACGATTCGTCGTGGTGCCAGTCGTGGAGTGGGTTTTTTAAAAAATATATTGGCTTTGACTTTTAAGGTTAGCTTTCTAAAGTTGGAAATTAGTATCAACTATCAAGATTTGAGAAGAGATTTTAAAGGCTTCAGCACTGTGAAAGGAAAGTTACATCAGTCAGCTTCAACAGGAAAATAATGATTGTTGCTTCATTGCAGGCTGCCACTCAGTTACAATGCCTTAAATTCATCGGAAATGCTTTATCTAGATGGAACAAATCAGATACTGCTGCGGTATAGTAATGGCATGACAATGATTTTTGATGCAACATTTGAAAATACATCACCTCTTGCCACATATCGTTTAAATCCGAATGCCCGAGTTCGTGACTAAAATCAGTATTTAGTTGCATACTGTTATGAATTTGAGACATAATTGATTCAGTTCAGTTACTCTAACAGTTGGTAGTTCCTTTTTTAAAACTGTAGAAATACTTAGCATAGTAAATTATTGAGAATACGGTACATATCCTTTACAGATAATTTACAATAAAAATAACGGTACGTTGGCAATCGCGGATTCCAAAATGCTTTGTTTGCGTCAGAGTTTTGGTGGTACATTTCTTCTTAAGACTGCACTGAAGAGGCCGTCAAACAAGACTGTTTCCGTTGAATTACCATTAGATGAGGTAGATATTTCATTGTTTATACAGTAATTACCAACTCTGCATAAGTAAAGTATACCACAGGATCATGCCGAAATAAAGTGCCAAAGAAGAGAAGATGAGCTGTTCCTTTCATCGTTTTTCGGGATTTATCGTGGAATATTTATGAATTTTGACATTTTCAATATGTTTAATAAGGCTAAGAATATTTTCAGTGATCTTCAAGATAATTTATCCATTTTTTATAGGCTACGAAATTTCTGCAGATAATCACAAATGATCCTGATTCAGAAGATATTCTGAAACAACGGCCTGCTCTGTGTAAATTTACATCACAGTTGCGCACTGTAGTCAAGAACTTGTCCACTAACACTGTATGTTTATTTTTGAGTAATTTTAAATTCACATGCAATTTTTGTTGTTGTGGAATGCTTTTCGCAATTTCCTTTCTGGAACACACGCCTGCTTGATTTTTTTTGAACAGAATTTTTTTCCGAAATAGACTAAGACTTCTCAGAACTGGCAACATGTTATTCTCAAATTTCAGAAATGATTTTGTTATATTCCCATTAAAAGTTATTGACAGTCTTTCTTTTGTATGTTATGTTGTTCAGTCAAACTGAAATTAAGTGCCTTCATATGTAATTTATGTCGTCTAAAATAATTCTAATTCATTCTTTTGTGCAACTTTTGAACCTCCACAAGATTTTCAGTCATTTCTTTACTCCTTTTCTGTTGATGATAATGATAACCGTTGAACGAAAATTAATGGTATGAAGTGCGTCTTCCTATAAATTTCATTAGAGCGTGGAGGAGGGGAGAAAAGTTTATTTTTTTTTCTGCTTGCTCAATAGCGTTTCTTAGATTGATACACTAGAACTTAGTCCATCGTGTTTGTTTCTTGAATTTAAATTATAATTTATTATTCAAAGTTTGGAGTCATTCAGCAGCGAGAATTTAAATTTACAGTTGATTTTATAGATGGAATCTGTAGTAGTAGAAACAAACGGCAAAGAATTGCTTGAGCAACTACGGCCTCTGAAGACTCCTGGGGAAAGCAGTAGTACGGAAGTACCACCGGAATGGTTGACTTTCATCTGGCCTTATATTTCAATACTTGTAGAACGTGTGCGGGTCAGTTTTTCGTTTCATCTCTGTTTCACTGTAACTTTGTTGTGACAAAATTTAATTGCGAGACAAGGTTTTAATTAGATTTTAGCCTGCATAATCGTAAAATTTCAATCGGAATAACTTGCAGCTGATATTAAACCCAGATCATCCGTATAATTTCGACTACTCACCGGAGTGGAAAGGTCTGAATAAAGATATGATGGCAAGTGAAGCAGCCCGTCGACTCACATTTCAAAACTGGCCTCATATGGAATACAGGTCCATTAAATTGTGTTGTAAAAACGGCTGGAAAAATGTTCATATTGTTTCTAAAAACTTTATTTTTAGGTGGGCTCTACCATGTCAGATGGCAGAGGCAGGATTTTATCACCAACCAAACAGTGCTGGCGATGATCGGGTTCTTTGCTTCTCTTGTTTTGTTTGTTTGGTGTGTTGGGAACCATCAGATGAACCTTGGTAATATTAATATGTATATTTTAGATTAATGTTCATCAAAGTTTATTAAAAGAATAAAAATATAGAATGAAGACATTGGAAGTAAAAAAAAAGTTCGTTTATATCATTAAATCGCTTAACGCGTGAAAATCGGGATTCACTTTTAGTAAAATAGCAGTGTAATATATTTGACATTAAAATAAGCAGTGATGGTTGGAAATTTTTCAATACCTTTTTTAAAGCCAAGTCAACTTTCCTCAATCAACTTTAGAAAATTCTAACATTCATCAACAAAAATCTGGTTTAAATTGGAAGCACCAAAACAAAATTGACACTCTATGCTTTGCACATTTCAGTCGTCCTTATGTTTTTATAAAAACTGAACTAATGAAAAACAATAAGAGTAGCGCATGTGATTGAATGAACTTTAGAAATTATTGAAACACATATATATATATATATATATATATATATATATATATATATATATATATATATATATA